GTCCGGCAGGGAACACTGGGCGCGGATGGTCGTGGTTGAGGTCCGGCGGGGAACGCTGGGCGTGGAAGGTCGTGGTTGAGGTCCGGCAGGGAACACTGGGCGTGGATGGTCGTGGTTGAGGGTTGGCGGAGGAGGACGAGGAGGAGAAGGAGGAGGCGGAGGAGATGGGGCTAACATAAAATCTAACAACTCTCACCTGACAGGTGGGGAACAAAGGTTCGGTGCTGTGGCTCAAAAGTCAAAACCTGATGTCACCAAAGACTTGACTCCACAAACGTTCGTATCCTGCCGGACGCTCATGATCTTGGGCGCCAAGCTGTTTTGACATTTAACTCCAGCGCCAAACCGGCTGTGGAAGTCAAGCCACTTTGGAAGGCAATAAGCTTGGGTGTCAAACCGGCTTGGACTTTGAAACTCCAGCAGAAACTCCAGCAGCAAACGGGCTTGGAGTCAAGATTCTGGTGCCCAAACTGTTTTGACATTTATATAGCTCCAGCACCAAACCGTTTTGGAAGTTAAAAACTTGGGTGTCAAACCGCTTTGGACTTTGAAACCCCAGCAGAAGCTCCAGCAGCAAACTGGTTTAGAGTAAAACCTCTGGTGCCAAACTGTTTTGACATTGAACTCCAGCACCAAACTGTTTTGGAAATAAAACGGTTTTGGAAGTCACCACTTTGGTGTCAATCCGCTTTTACTTTGAAACTCCATCAGCAAACTGGTTTGGAGTCAAGACTTGGGTGCCAAGCTGTTTTGACAATTAACTCCAGCACCAAACCGTTTTGGAAGTCAAACCATTTTGTGATCAGGTCTGTGGGGATTCAGAATCAGTGAATGTCAGATTCTGTCAGGAAAAGGTGGGCGCATCGGGAAGTGCATCGGAACTCGCATCGGGAAACACATCGGTAAATGCATCGGGACACGCTTGGCAAACCACATCGGGAAATGCATCGGGATGACGCGTGGCATTTGTTGGACTCTTTGTGTGGCTTGGAAGGGTTGATTTTATAGGGAACGCATTTTTCTGGCAAATTTATGTAAGCCCACTATGGCCAACCCCCAACCCAACATTATAGAGACTTAAGGTTTCTACCTGGCACACTGGGGTGCCGCATTTGTAGGTACAAAATGCCCGCTCGACAACCTCGGTCCGACCGAACGACAGGTGACGACCATCAACGTGCGTGAGAAGCCGCGCCTGGAGCGGCGAATCAGCGTGGGGAGTGATTTGGCCTTCACAGGGACCTACACCGGTGCCGTGGCGTCCGCAAAAGCGGCGGCCAAGCCCAGATGACCTAGAGGATTGTAAATCTTGGTGAAAATCTGACGGTTGTAAAGCGCCTGAGAAAGACCATTGAGTTCTTGACCCGTATCGGATGCTCTCCTTTGGGTTGTCAAAAGCTTCAGATGCCGACACCATTCCACATTCCAGTATTTGGCTAGATTCGGTGTGCGTGTTGGTAGCTCGCCGAAGTCACCGTGTATAGTAGCTGTGCAGGAAAATTCATGACTCGATCAGCAACAGTGTTGACTTGAGCATGGGATGAAGGGCCATGGGTTCGGCTAAGCTGACACCATAGTCTATAGTCCAGTGCCCAGCGCAGGTGCAGCCTTTTACATGCTTGAAAGGTATGGCAAGACTTCTTGAGAGTGCAAGTGCATTCAATGTAAGATGTTCAAGAGGCTTTGCCAGTGGCTGATTTTTTTGTGGTTTCTCACATTTTCCGAGTCACTCGCGTTGTCAAAAAGGGCAAGTTGGAGGATGATGAGGATGCGCCACGTTTGGTGCTGAGGCATTTCTTTTGCACAATCGTTTTGGTCAAAATGACTGAGTCATCGGATCTTCCGCAGAAGATGCTTCATCGACCGGCAGGACGAATCACTCGTCCGGACAGTTTATTTTTATTTTTTGCGCAGACTACATTCATTTGTCTAGCATTTGTTCAATCTGATCTAACAGAGATCTGGCGTGAAAAACACCTCCAAATCATGGTTATCACATGTTGTCACATTGTCATCGTCTTAAGCATGGACCCTGTGCCTTGGTGAGGTCCTGGGAAAAAAGAAGCACCTGTGCCTGACCACCGGCACCTCCAGTGGCAAGTCTTTGGCGTTTGCGTTGCCGATCCTGGAGGCACGGGAATTTCATGCAAATGTGAAATGAGATTGCTTCTTGTGTGACCAAGATTCTTGAAACGATTCTTTGTGTTGTTAGGCCCAGGCACATATTTTCTTACTATATAGTTCTTGATCTTTTAGTGATTTCTATCCCCCTGCAGGGAAATGCTAGATTCGATGGTTATCACAACGATGTGCCGATGTGCTCATCTACGTTCACATCTTTCCTTGACACATTTTTGGACACACTTAGGGTGCTTTGGAAGAAGGCTGCTGTGTGAGGAGGAGACAAGCTATTTGATAGTTGCCAATCGAATCGTCTTGGCTACCCTGGCAAGGCATATCGAAGAGACCCAAACTCAAAGGCATTGGTGCTCTTCCCGACGAAGGCGTGCAATGATGCAATGTAGAACGATGAGAAAGACTCAAGGACGATGCTGGCCTGTCGATGGCTAGTGGGGGTTCTTTGCGAGTGCGAAAGAAAGACCAGACGGCCAGGCGGGACCACTTGCTTGCTGATAGAGATCCCGAATTGGATATCAAAATTGACAAACATGAAGGAATATGCAACTTTCTAAGGCTACATCCCCAACCTTGAGCAGCTTAACTTGACGTGGAGCGGGACACCCTTCTCCCAACCAGCAAATGTACTGTCAAGAACGCTTCAACGGGAACAAAAAGAACGCTAAAACATCCTTGCACAAACTTAATTTCCTCCTCCCTTTGCATTCCATGGTTGCTCCCTCTGGGGACTTTGTCCGATTTGCGGCTCAGGCACTTGCGCAGGACCAGTGGAACTGACATGCTTCGCACATCATTGCACTCACTGCCCAGAATCGCAGTTCATGGGCTTTTTGTGTTTGCCCCAGCACATTTTGCAGTCAACAAGTGGCCGTGAAAGGAAGACAGATGAGGGCGTGAGTATGTGTGAGTATGTGTGAGTGTAAGCCCTATCCAGCCTGATCAAGCTGTGTTTCCCTCAGATAGATAAAACACCGGGAAAGAAGTGAACATGAGCCAGGCTTGGGAAACTGCAAAAGCTCTTCCAGCAGGCCGGTGAGGGTTCTAAGATGTTCCAAGGTTTGATGACATCAAGGATTGGACAAAGAAACATTTGTCGAGATCTGCAGAGATGGACTTTAGATGTAAAAACTAGTAGCTTCTTGTTACTAGTAGCGAGGGCCTCCGCCTATTAGCGATGGCCTCCACCCTAGTAGCGATGGCCTCCACCCTAGTAGCGATGGCCTCCACCTAATGTAGTTGGTTTGTGACTCTACTTGGCTGGTTTCTTCGTGCTTGTTTGTTGGTCCTATGTCTTACAATTTGAGATGGGTTAGTTGGAAGATTCATAAAGTTGGACATTTCAACAGCAGAAAAGAGCACAACGATGTTTTCCGTTTAGAGTATCCCAACAATTTGGTGGCCCTAGGCCTAGGCCCTAGGTGGCTTTGCCGGCAAATTCTGGGGGTCGACAACTCGCAGTTGTCATCGGAATATTGACAGTTACTGTTGCAAATGCCCTGTATTGGCTAGTGTTGCCAGGTTTGCCCCGGTCTCGGCGTATGCACTTTTGACGGAGACACGCCCAAAGATGACCGAGCACGCCTGTTGAAAAGCAGCGACTTGGCATGGTCTGCAGGTCACTTGCCGCCTCATGAAGGTACAACTACTGTCAACATGTGTCGCTTTTGGTCTAGGGACTCAAGGATGAGCTTTGTGGTTGTCAAATCGGTACCCATTCGCGTCCTGTTTTGCATGCAGTTTGTACTCTTCAGATCCAGGCAATGTCTTCCTGACCAATCCGGATATGCTGCATTTCACCATCCTATCATCACACTTGAAATGGCGGCATGTGTCGGCGGCTCGGGATAGATGGGTACTTTCCCTTGGGATTTGCTTGGCAGGGAATTCGGCCCTAACATTTGGCAGCTGCAAATAGCAGCTGTCAACAGTCTCAAATACATTATGGATCATTATGGCCTCTCAGGAATTTCCATGAACGCCTAGCAAATTCCTGTGTTTATTTGAAGGGCGACGGTTGCTTGACAGCAGTTCTCAGAAAGTGTGTTGCAACTGACAAGCTGTTTCTTGGTGCCACAGCGTCGATGAGGCTCGAAAATCTGCGTCACGTAGTCCTTGATGAGGCACGCGCAGAACCATTGTAAACGCCGCAGCAAAATATCAAAAATGCCTCCAATTGCGCATGTTCACGATACTTAAAGTAATTATGAGGCAAGTGCTCCATCTCTCCAATCTTCCCAGCAAAAAGTCACACACAGGTGATACCCCGTTCATTTCAATTCTCCGTTTCTTCGGCTCGGCTTAGACCGTTTGCCTTTTCGTCGCTCTTGGTCGTCTCCAACAAAAACTGCCAGTGTTCACCCGAAAAACGTCACCCGTTCCAACCGGCAACATCAGGCGCACGTCTATCGAGGAAGCTTCGGCTCTCACGCTGCGCTGCTCCTGCGCCGCTTTCGGAGAGTGCGCGGGCGCCCGGGGGACGGATCGACGCGGATCGTCGACTCCGGACGGGTCGGGATCGGATAAGATATATTCAAGTGTTTGTCGGCGGGGCTTGAAATTATGAATACTATTGAATACATTTGAATACTTAATACTTCTATTAGTACTATGCAGCAGTTCTTTGCTGGTGATGAGATCCTCCAGACAACAAGCCCATCCAACCACCGTGACCAAGCCACGAGGGAGGTTATAGTGCCTATACCTATTGTACGTGGTCAGCTTGGCGGCAATGAGAGCCGAGCCAAGAGTTTCACGTTGGGTTTGTCCTGTTACCTGTAACAGTCAGTAAACAGTTATAACTATTTTTGAAGAAGGCCTTTAAAAGTAACTATCATCATCCACTGTTACAGGTATTAGGATAGACCCAATATAGAATGATTATAGTTATTGTGGGTTCATGCCCAGCAGTGTTCTTCTTCTTGATGTGACCAGTTGCAAAAGTCGCGGTCTCCTTCTGTAGTCTACGTGGTTGCGTCATGTTGTTTGAAGCTTTTCTTTCCGCCCCCTTCGTTTCGAAGCAGCACCAAGGGAACAACACAAGGAACCCCCCCCCCATGCATTCAATCCAAAGTGCGGTAACCACTAAAATTTTTGTTGTATGTTGTGTCACTTGAACACAGTTTGTGTACTCCTCAAAGACTGCGAGCCCGCAACAGTCCTTCCATCCATGAGCCTTTCATGGAAACTTCGCACAGTGAACATCAGCCCGATGTGGAATCAGTCCCTTGTTTCATGTTTGTGATTGTGTGCTCGGTTTGAGATGTGATAGCTGACCCTCAACAGCGAAGGCTGAAGCACTACAAGACCTCGCCCTTGTTCATTGCCTGCTCAGCAACTATGTGCAATGTCGCTCACTCAGATAGACACATGCCTGTTGGGTGCAGAAGGTCCTCTTTGTCAGGTTCCACATTTTGGTCAGAACATCGAGTCAACATGGTGGTTGAAAGTCTCTCTCTCCCTAAATATATATATATATATACATACACATATTACTTAATATTGTTCCCTCACACTGCGCGGGGCTACAAGGGCCCCGAATATCGCAGATGCACTACGGGCATTAATATATCATTACAGTATATAGTCTAATTGTCAGCCTCAAAACATCTATTTTTACTATGTGTAATATATATATTTTTATATGTGACAGCAAACATGTATTATGACTTCATTTCGTTCATGTGTCGTGTCGAGGGAAGAGAGATTGTTCGGTCAGCTGGCGACTGGTGGCGCATGCACCAAGGCTGGAGCTTTTTTCACGAAGCTGCTAGCGCTTGAACCAGGCGGACAGATGCTGGGTGCAGAGCTTGACAAGGATGTGGGTGACACGTCGAACATGCAGCACAAGCTCAATTTGCCTTTTAAGTACCCGCTGTTTGTGACTCCTGGTCAAACTGAGATAGAAATTGCAGCAATTCTAGCTCATGTTGACAAATTGGTGGAGAGCGATTGGGAAGAGGGGCAGCTTGAATCAGATCTGACACAGGGGAAGAGGTTTGCGTGGTGGATGAAGACACCGCTGGCCGGGGCGACCGGCAGTTGCTGGGATTGCAAAGCAATGCTTGGCCGGTTAGTCGTAGTGACAGCGTCTGCAGATATTGTGACGGCTTAGACTCAGACCACTGGGGCAAACTTTGCTACTTCTCTCCTCGCAACCACCCAGGTTTTGCCTTTGGAACCCGCCCCTGTTGGAGGTGTGCAGCGCGCCGCACCTCGGACGTTTGGGCAGCAGCATCAGATTGTGGATTGATGGAATGTGCTGGAACCATTGTGCACAATGATCATCGATTCAATACACTTTTGGTCGCGGATCAAGGATCCTTTCAATCTGCGTGCATTTCTACTGTATAGTTTCTATGAGCAGCCTTTCATATCCAAGCAAATATTCATCATTTCACATCTGGGTGTTGTTTCATTTGGTTGACACTACGGTGCCACACCCGCCTGTTCACATCTTCCCTGCTCATCATTGTACATTTCTGAGCCTTTGCATTACGAACACTGTACAAACATAGAGTTCTAAAATGTGTTTTGTTTTTTTATCCGAAAGTGTGAGGACTGACTCGTTGAACAGAGGGAGACCTTGGACAGCGTTATCCATGAAGTAGTTTTGAGAATCACTCATAGATGCTATCGCTGAATTTTGGGTCTCGACCCGTACTTAACGATAGAACCTGACATGATTCAAAAAGTATCCAAGAATGACTCGAATGCACATTCGACTGAACCTCTTTATGGCACAGGCCTTGCCAGGCCAGCCGAGCCGAGAAGAGCAAAACGCTCGGAAGCGAGCCCGCCACAGCTGGGGGGCCCAGGAGGAACCGAGCGGCGTTTCAAGGCCCAAAACGGTGTTCATTCTCGTTTCGAAAAGCATCCATCGGTGGAAATAAGGCTAATGTCATACACCATCCATGTGACTCTTCCTCCAAGGAACTTCTGATATTTGAAATAAGACATAAGACCAGAGGTTGCAGTCATTCTTTTTTAGGTTTGAGCTTTGTCTTTGGAGAAACCGATGTGGTTGGAGCAACATGGAGCAACGATGAAGCATCCCTCCTCTCATAGAGTGTGGCACATTGTCATAGTCATAGGTGTTTATTCGATATTTTTATGGGGATGACCGCTTTCGCAGCGTAAGCGTCATGGTTCGCTTGGATCGAAACTACACACGTTTGAATTCCGAGTCCATGCACGTCCTCTGATTTGGACTGGATAGCAAACTACAAATCAGAAGCGAACGTTGTCTTGGACTGGATTGCATGCAACACCTGGACCCCCCGCGTTGCGGTTTCTTTCAAGTTCCTTCCTCATCTTGCCAAGCAGCTGTAGGCCTGACCAGAGGTAGTGGCGGGAGATAATGAAAGTCTATCATATCTATCTTCCATGAATCGACTTGATGTGATTCACATTTACTTGCACCAGTAACAAGTGCATCGCTACTAAGAACAAGTGCATCAATTACTACTAGTAGTAAGAAACTACTAGTAACAAGGACCATTTTGCACCCTGTTTTCACCGGTCGTCGGTTGGAACTCCATCTCAGGTGAGCGCGAAGGGCCGCAGGCTGCACCGCGCCTGCCTCCGGGTGTGGGCAGCGGCCTCGGAGTGCAGTGGCCTCCATTCAGATCGACATGTTGAGGTTTGGCTTCTTGCTCCTAGCAGCTTCTTGTTACATTTGTTACTGGTAGCGATTGCTCCTAGTAGCGATGCCCTTTGTTCCTAGTACGGTTTGGCCTGGGTTTCCAGGTGGGACTTGTTCAACCCCCCCCAGGTTACCTGGTTTTGGACCCTTGGATTGCCTTGGATCATTTTGGACCCTTGAATGCAAGGAAAAAACCTTCTATATACTGAACTTCAAAACTCTATACACAGGTGTCGTTTGATAAGTCATTAAGGTGTGCTTTAATTGGGGAAGTTCTGTTTTGGCATTCTGCCACCGAACCCTGGTGGCTATAGCCCTATAGCCAGGTTACAAAACACGATCATCACCCTATGAAGAAGCAGCTTGGCTGCTGGCGCAGGCACTTCTCGGAGAGATGGTCGTGGAGGGATTGCCTTGGTTCCCTCTGTTTGAAGAACAAACATATGAGACGACTTGATGATTGAACATTGATTAAATACTTGCTCTGTCTGTTTTCCAAGAAGCTCCGCACCGCACCACCGGCGCAGGCAGCCCGAAGGGGCCATCGGACGGTCTGCTTTTTGCAGGTGCGGGGTTGGCACTCCGAGGAGGGCCAGTGGGCTCTCACCCAGCTCTTCGGCTTCTGATCACGGTTGGGGCCGACTCTGTGAACAAACGTGAACAAAAGTGACTGTTTGACGATCCTGAAACAAGCTGCAGCATGGACGCTGAAACGACTTGAGCCAATAATCCACTGCATGTATTTGGCATGAGGATGGATAGAGCATACAAAGCCAGAACCAAAGAAACTCCAGAGTGACATTGCAACTGACATCGCAATAGTATTGATCAAAAGACTCCTGCCATACAGCCGCTTGACCACCACTTGATCCCACAAATGTCAATTTGAAGGCGCAGCCAAACCGTCGACCCGGCCAAGCAAATGTCCATCTCCCAACAGGTTCGTGCATTGGTGGAGATCATTCTCCAGGCTGGTTTCTTGCTGTTTTCTGTAGCGAGAGGGGACCAGAGGAAGGATCAGATCAAAAAGAGAAGGTATGGACTCAGCCAGAGTCTATTTGTCTCTCAGATCAGATTCAGATGTCTTAATTGGTCGGTCAAACGGGTGACTTCAACTACTTCATGCTTTACGAGCCATTTTTGGTTTGAATCAACGGGATTCAATCCAGTTGCATTCCACGCGCGTTTCACTGGACCTTTCGCGAGCGAGGAGCAGCATATATCAGCAAATCCGGGCTATCCTATTGTTTTGCAATGTGTTGCACATGCAATCCATGTGCAAGAAGCAATACTAAGTGCTGCGGTGCGTGACCTGTGCTTGGTAACTTGTGGGAACAATTGGTGGTTTGGCCATTGTTGATTTGAAAGGCAAAATGACAGATGTTGACAGTGTACTCTAGCCACCAGGAAGAAGCATGTCTACAACCTGAAGATGACATAGAAATAGAGATGTCAATGTGCAAGGTTCAGAAGTTCCTTCTTGTTTAGGGATCATGTAACTTCATGGATTTAGTGCTGTCCCCTGCTGGTAGCCTGGTCCTTGTTGCTGGCCAGGCTTCTCTCAAGCATTTGGACGATCGCCCAGATTTGTCCCCAACCTCAGCGAGGGAACGTGGGACAAGACCAGATGTCCAGAACCATACGTCACCGGGGAGTGGGCTTTCCACAACGACGTTCTGTGAAATCGGAGTCGTTCTGATGACGTTTCACGGACGACGTTTCATATAACATCTAGATTGGCCACCGCCAAGGCAAGCTCGAATCGCTGGCTATCGTGGTGGCTACGCTGCTGTGGAGAGGAGACCCACCTTGGGCTTGACCATTCTTTTGGCGCCAAATGAACCAGCTTGACACCCTTGCATGGCTTTGTCCGGAGCTCTGCCAAAGTGATGGGAAGGGGCGTCTCATGGCGGATCACAACGCCCAAACCGGTTACGGGCGCAAGGAGTTTTGCTATGTTTCGCAATTGAATGGTTTTGGGTTCGACATGGTTCAACAGCATGAAACAGGTGTCCAAAAGGTGATTCTTTTGCGCTGCTCTTGACGTTTTCCCAGCCGGGGCATCGATTGAACAGGAGGAAGCTGGAGCGCCGGCTCTTCACGGGTGATTTGCTTTGTGCGACATCTCAGTGAAGTCGTACCACTCGGTTTACGGCAAAAGAATGAAAGCATGGCAATAGCATGGCCTTGGCTGCTTACAGCAGTTCTATGCAGTTCTGCAAGGTTCTGCATGTTTGCATCCAGTGCCATCATGTTTGTCCAAACGATTGGACATATTATATATACTGTACATATATAGTCACTATATATACTTGGCTTTTCAACTTTGACGGTTTCTACTGCACTTACCATCTAGGATGCCAGTCCAAGCCAGAGCGCAGAGTGCCAACCTGGACGTTACACAAGATGTTCCAATAAAGACAAGACATGGGAGATCTGAACAATGGTTTAAGCAGCTGAAGCAACTGCAACCATTAGATGTAACTATAACTTCCATGGGAATATTCCATGGGGCATATCGAACAGTGTTGTGTGGACCTTCGGCAAGACACTTCCTGGCGTGGCCCATGTTGTTCCGATACTGAGTACTGATAGTGCTGATCAATGGCAATCAGTTTTCTGCTGATTCCTTGCTGCATGACACGTTTGCCATGCTGTGGGTGAGCGGAAGCAGTGACATAGAGTGATTGACCTTGACAGTTGGAAAAGGCAGCCAGCTGACCGGAACCTTTAGCTGACCGGCACCATTATAAGAAGGCGCATGACTGGCAAGCAAGATGACTGGTTTTGTTCCTTTCATATCCTTTCATACTGTGTGTGGTTTGTTCAGATATGTTCAGACGAGAGCTTGGGTGTCTGTCGGCTTTACAGCTAAGGTGTGATTGCCACGAATGCTTTGGAGCTCGGCCGGCTCGTTATCCCATCCCTGTTCAACAGACCGCATTGCAAAATATAGACTGCATGGCCAACAGAGCAAGTCGCAGGGCATAAACATACGGCCTCATCAAACTTACGGATTGCAAACTTTCGTAAGTTGTATTGCCCGGTCTTGCGTCGATTGGATTTGAACTGAGAGCCCCGCTGACTTATGACTTGTGGATTGATGATTAGATCTTTGGGCAGACGCTTGGCGGCTCTCCTTTATGGCAATCTTGTGTGGGTTTGGCGAAGTGCAGATCCAAACACACTGCAAACATCTGCAATCCAGAACTCCCAGCTCAGGTGGTTTGGACTTTTCTGCTTGATGGCCATATTGACCACATGTCAGTCTCTAAACAGGTTTGACACGGATTACGGATTGCAAGTTTTCTGGAGGATTGTACTCATTAGCAGGTTTACGGATTATAGTTTCGTGGGCCCTACTCATCTGGATGAGCCCAGCATATGGGAAAAGTCGGAATGAAAAGAGGTCCCAAAACGGACACCCTGTCAACGAGTGGCTGGAGTCTGATGTTGCCCTTCACAAACGCCAGGCTTGGCATCGATATCGGCGACCTGGACTTGACCCTGCATGTGGGTATTCCGCATACAGTGGCGCCAGATTCTCGTCGAACGACACACAAACACACGCATTTGTGCATGAATGGATGCTCTTGAATTCAACTCAGTGCTTGCGGGGTGAAGCTTGTAGGATAAGACTACCAACAAATGTTAAACAGATGTTTCATCACCGTGATTCTTTTTCCACTATCATGTTGGTTTCCAGCATCATTCGGTCTCTCCCTATCGCCCAGATGTTCATCAACATCCCTCCGAAACACGAGGACTGTACTCAGTACTGGTACTCACAGCCGAGGTCCATTTGGCAGCAAGCTGGCCGTGCAGGTCTTGATGACTTGATATGATTCGTTCGTCTCATTTGTGGACCGTTGTGAACCGTGCTGATGATGATGCATTTGCCAAAGCACAATCTGAAAGCAACACCTAGATCCCATCATTATCCCCTCCGCATCAACTCTGGTGGCAGGGCGACGTGGACGCCCATCAGCAGCGATCCTCATTGCCATGGTAGGCGGCCTTGGTAAAAGCAGTGTGTTGATCGGGGTTGGTTTGGACTTTGGGTGCCTGGTATGCTGTGGTTAGGACTTGTGACTTCAGCAGCAGAAATCAACAGTATGTTGCTGGAGGTATTAGGCATTGTGAGTTATACATCTCAAAACGTGCTGTAACATATATAAATATATATATATTGTTCTGGGATTCAGTTTTTGTTTTAACAATCCTCAACCCTCCATGCTGGGTGCAGTGCTTTTGCTTGTATCATTTTCTTGCTTTTCCCTCTCCTCTTGGTCCACCCCTGACATCGGCGCGATTCAGTCGCTGCTTAGGATGCGCCATTGGAACAACACTTCTGCAGAAATCCTGATGAGTTTTTTTTGCATCGCCGGCATGTTTCTTCTTTTCTGTTTGGATGCTGATACAGCGAAACTGACTGGCTACACCCTGCATTCACTTATTAGCTTTAAAACAACATGTTTGCACCATTGCAGTGACTAATGACACAGCAAGAAGCGGCCCTTGTCCTCATGTTTATTCTGTTACAGCAAAGTTTCGCCACTACTGGATATGCAAAGCATTAGATCATTAGAAAAAACACATCATATGTAGAGGAAAGGAATGGGCGGAATGGTGCTGGGTCACTTCTCACGAACTGGCCGAACTGGACCTGCCAGGAGGTCCATTGAGGCACGCTTCCAGGGTCGTTTGTGTCAAAGTCTATTGACCCAGGACCGAAGGACCAAAGGACAGAATGTACCAATGCCTCAGAATTACCTGACAATCCTTTTGGATCCTTTTATGTTTTTTGTTTTTTTCGACATGTGTGCGCCAAATGGCTCCGTGGTCTCGAAATCAGCACAGGATCAAGATGGATCAAGTGCTTTCGTTTTGAGTCTCTCCTTCAGCCGGGGTCTGCAAAGTTTCCAGAGAGTAAGTGTTTGCCTAATTTCTGTCAGGCGCGTGTGCCTGACACTTCCAACGAGCTTCTTCTCAAGGAGCAGTTGCTGATTCATGTCTTGCGTAAGCATGCCCTAGCTCAGGCAGTGGCAGCTGTGACCCTGTAGGGCAAAAGACGTTCGATGTTCGCATTTCGTCAATCCCAAGTTCGGGCGACGAATCCCATGTTGGTTTTGGATGGTTGGCTACACATCTCGGATCATTCTACCTTGGGGAATCCGGTTGAATTCACACAAGGCATGGGTATATGGCATTATATATATGGCGGCATGGCCTCAAAATGAAGAAAGATAAATATATACAAACATCATCAAACATCATATATAAATATATATATAATATCATCATCAAATATTCTCGAAGATCTCTTGTGGCGAACATGTTGCGAGCCCCGCGCCGCAGGGCCACCTTCTTTGCGCAGCTGCAGAGCTCGCCCCCCTATCAAGTGCCGATGCCCACAGGTTTGCCGGTGTTCGTGAATCATTTGAATCATGACTGGTGGACAGAAGGACCAAGGGGAGGAGCTCGCTTGACGACTGAGCTCGACACTTCTCCGGTGAGGGCTTACGGACCTGTCAGAATTTCTGAGCCACCTTTTGAACATGGAATGTCCATGAATGTCCACGAATTTCTCCATGCTTGGGCGCCGTTCGACAATGTTCGACATCTGTCGAGATGGTGTGAGTTAGAAGGTGTAAGGGACTAAGGGGTTGCTAAGTGGCTGACAATGTGGTTACGTTATGTCACGTTTCGGTTGGATGCCTTAACAAGGGATCAAGACGGAGACCTCTTTTGCAGCTCTCCGTCTTTCCTGCAAAAACCGACGCACCTTGATCTTTGCAAACCGGCCCGATGGGCTCAGCGATTCGCGGCCAGTCGGGGGAAAACCGGATTCGTGGCATGCGCGATGTCACTGGGCCGCCTGGATCGAGTGGGATCCTTTCTGAATTCTGTGGTGGATGACCGGAGCCTTCTTAGTGGAGGCGCCCTGGCTATGCACCAGACGGATTCTATTGGATCCCTGCAAAAACCTCCCCTTAAGCGGGGTTTGTTCCCCTTGTTCGTAGTGTATGTTGAAGTCACAGTAAGTATTTAGTAGGAGTAGGAGCTTGAAATCTCGAGGTCTCTCAGCTGCCCACACTTCTCTTGGACGCAGTCAGAGCTTGGGACAAAGCATCGCAGAGGTGCTCCGCGTTTCATTGGATCCACTGCCAGGACTGATGCTCCTGTTTGGCATGTTTGGCTGATTTTTGCTGCCATATATGCAGAGACATTGAGTGCTAGGAGTTGTTATGATATGTAATTCATTGCATGTATATATATATATACATATATCATATATTCTTAAGTGTTCACAGAAAAGATCTTCACTTGTACTTGTACCACGAGATCGCTGCTGAAGAGGAACTGTCGACAAAAAGGCTGTTTGGGGCCTCTATTGCATGTATGCTATCGTGGGTTTGATGACACTTGGTTTTGGAAGGGAAGAGAGTCACAGACAACTATATACAAGCAAGCAACAAATTTGTTGGCGCTTTATGGTGTTTCTATTAGTATGAGTTCACACATCACCATCAGTTTGTTTCTGTATGTTTCTTTGTTGAAGATAGAACCAAGAAGAACAAAGCACCTGAAACGCAGAGAAACGCTGCAGAAACATGTATATACAAGCTGGACTGGAGGCTTTGATATCGCCGCCCGAGGTATGGTTTCGTTTCGAACTACATCAACATTCCCATTTGCCAATATGTCTTTGGACCGTTGGGCGAGCCGGGGCGAGCATCCATCCAGCAGTGCAACATCTCAGTTCACCCGAATTAAACTGGCAACATGTTTCTCCAGTTTCAAATTCAATCCATTCAATTCTATTCCAGCAGCATCATTTTCACCGGTATTTTTTTAGATTATATATAGACAATATATAGATCACACTAGATAGAACAACCACAAGACGAACACATACTTCAGCAGCTTTAGCATACGCATGTTCCTTTTTTTTACATACTTCCCATGAGGTCTACGGGGATGAATGTCTAAAACCCCTGAGGTCTCCCTGACACAGATGCCATGGAACTTCAAGATTTTCTACGGTCTTCTCTTGGATCGCTTGAGCTTGCTGGGTTCACGAAGGAAGGGCTGGATCCTTGGCCAGTTTAGAAACCAGCTTGCCATAGATTTCACTGAGAACGCTAAACAGTTCATGAAGACAGGTGCTTTGTGCTGGGTGGCTCCATAGTCAATGTACGTAGAGTCGACAGCCCAGCATGATGGGAGTGCTTGTTGTAACATTTTTGTTGGTTGATTTGCAGATTTCCTCCTGCTGCGATCACATGTTGCATGATAGTTGCAATTGCAAAGTTTTTTATTTTTTAAATTGAGGATCATTTTTGGTTGGAGCTCTTCTCTTGCAATCTTAACGTTCCTTGGCCTTTTCACTTTGCATTCTTGGTGGTGTTTCTTTGACAACATGAGCGCCAGTATGCGCCGGTGGTAGCTGCAGAAAAAGTTGCTTACCTATTCTTTGCTTCCGTTTGGGGGGACCCAGGTTCATGGCCGGTTTTGCTCAAAATCTTGCTGACGAGGGCAACTTTGCTACCTATATGATGCTTTTGATGGTCTCTTTGCAGGAATGGAGGCCATCGCTATTAGGTTGGAGGCCATCGCTACTAGGTTGGAGGCCATTGTCAATACAATATCACAATCTGATGCTATTACCTGCAACAGTCAGTAAACAATTGTCACTATTGTTGAACCAGGCCTTTACTAACCAAAGCAAAAAAATCCACTGTTACTGGTAATAGGATAGACCCAAGGCTATTAGGTTGGAGGCCTCGCTATTTGGCATGGAATCGGCCCGAAGCGCCGAGATGAGAGAGTCGTATTCCTCGGTGTTCCCAGAGGTGCAAGACTAAGACTTGGTGCCGGAGTCGGCCGATCACTCAGGTCATGTGTTTCTTCTACATCTTCTCAGACGTGGCTGGGGATGGCATGACCATTGAACTCAGCAAACTGGAAGCGCCGGAAACACGCGGCTACATTTTGACTACAGGTCAGACTCTCGGATGCACTCAACAGGGTTTTTGAGCGCATTGAGCACTTATGCACGACGCGACGGAAAGAGGCCTCCAAATCCCTGTCTTAGGCATCCAGCAAAGACAGGCAAAAGAAGACATAAAGAGGAAAGTTATTTATGAAAAAACAATGCAAGAACAACCAACAGGTTTTCCACACTGTGCGACGTCGGCAGATCAAATGTATCAAAGAAAACCAACTCTGGCAAGTTTGAATGTCGGGATGGGACGCTTGGTTGTGGTTGCCTCAATTGCAAGGAGCACCCAGCTCAGCTGATTTGCGTGAAATGCAGAGCCACGTGATGCGCGTGTGTTTTGCAATAAGGATGGTTCGGTTTGCAGCTACAACTGTGACCAATGTGCTGCTTGATCGCATTCAGCGACGTTTGTTGGTTCGCTGTCACTCGTGGGTCAGCTGGTGGTGGTTGCTGATGTCCCGAAGTTTAGAGAGATCAGCTTTGCAGCAGAAACAATTCACAGACGACTCTATCATAATGATCCATAATGTTGACAGTTGATTATAACCCCACCCTCTCATTTGGATTGAAACACCTCTTCACACGGGGGGTTCTAGTATGTTGTATTAATCAAGAGTCTACATTATATACTGGACCTGAGATATGTCAATCAATGGGCTGATCCATGCTGGTTTAGTTCAGCATCTCCCTGCACAAGAAATCCCCAACGTTCCACGGCGCTGCGTCAATGGTTTTTTTCGCTGAGGTTGGGAATCCTTGGGATGAACGGACATTATTACTATCCTCCGGACAAAAGGAAGGCCACTTGGCTTTGCTTGGCTTGATTCATCAGCTTGGTATACTTTTGCATTTCTGGCTTTTTCAAGCCTCTTCCTGAATGTCAGGAGTAACTTTGCAGTTTGCAGTGAAACACGGACAAAACCTATTTGAGAGCACCAGGACAGCAATGATACCATCTTCCCTTTCGAGCTGACCTTCTGGGAAGTTCACATCGTTTTGGTGTGCCTCACCTTGCCACTCTTGATCGTGATGTCCCTACTGCTTCAGGACTTGGGGTGGGCATGGCTGGGCGGGATGTGTGGGTCGGAGGCGAGCTGAGGGAAGTCTACTGAGCAGCTGCATACATTGGACACTTGCCACCTGAAACAGAAGACTAGAGTCTTGACCAAGAGGGCTTCATAGGCAGCTAAATGTTGAGGATCAATGAGGATCATAGTTGTTTTGAGCCCATCACGTTCATCTCATCAAAACGTAGGTTTGAAGAGTTCTCTGTGCTGCGACGACCACCGCAGGATCCACCGCAACAGGTTGTGACGACCCACAGCGCCAGTGATGTGGTAAAGGTGATGTGGAAGGCCGCAGCCTGGTCAAGGAACAACGAAGGAACAAACGAATGAATCAAGGAACAAACGTTACAACAAACGAATTAGTAGCAAGAAGCTACTAGGGGCTCCTGGCATCGCTACTAGGGGCTCCTGGCCTTACTACTAGGAACAAGGACGCTACTAGGGGCTCCCAGAATTCTTTTGCACTTCATGTTTTGACGAAGTGGCTGGCCGATGTTTGGGTGATCGAAAAAGCACCCGTCATGTGCAGGTCATGCAAACCAAAGTCATGTTCTATCTCATCATATTTGCACTGGGAATCTTGGACGAAGAGCAGACAGTAAGAACTTGATTTGTACTCGTACAGGTTGTGACGGCATTCCTGATGATGTGGCAGCAAATGTTAATCATCTCTTGCAGCAACCTTTCTTTTCCTTCTTTACTGCTACTTTTCTTTGCTTCTGTGTTTCTCACAAGCTCCAGTCAGAAACCTTCGCACGACCTCCCGTTCGTCGAGGCAATATGGCGATTGCTAGCATGCTGAATCCTGCGCAGACGCTTGTAACAAGAAGCTATATATATATAGATTATATAGTAGGTTGGAGCCCATCGCTATTAGGTTGGAGGCCATTGCTACTAGTAAAAAGAAGCTACGAACGTAACAAAGGGCATCGCTACGAGTCCGGAGCAAGGACGCGAACCGAACGTAGCAAGGTTGTCCGGGTTTAATGCTCGGACGGACGGGTCCATGCTCGGCGTGGGAGCGTTAGACCCAGGAACATTATTGCCTTCATTGCTGCTCCATCCACCTTGCAGAATTCAGTGGTGCCCTTAGATGACAGATAGTAATCACTCACAGAAACATGACCCTCCTGCTTTGCAGTTTCCAGTGTGTCTTTTTTGGGCCTTGGAGGGGAGTTGGAGGTAGGCCCTTCAGCCCATCTTAGGTGTGTTTTTGATTGTTTTTGCAGATTGAGGACATCTATTTGCAACTTACACTGAGGTGGGTACATTTGCTGGGAATGCAACGTTTCTCATTGGCACCTTGCAGATGGCTGACTGTGTGAAGGATTGTTTGTGGTGTGGTTGAGGGCTGTGGTTTTTATGCAGATCCTGCATCGTGTGCTCGGTTTTTTCAGCAAGGGATTGGGAGCTTAGACTTGGTGGCTTGTTTCTTTGATGTTTTTGGTTGTTCTATGTTGTTCCCATGATTTCAATTCTCCATGATACACTCATTTCTTGGTGTGTCACTTTAGGCAGATGCAAGCTCAGGTGTGTATCTCTTCCGCAGGCACTTCATGCATCGGAACTGGCGCATGACCTTCGTGTGGACTGCCGGCATCCTAGCGCTGAACAACGGCTTCCAGCTGATGGTCATCTACAATGCCGCCCAGCTGAAGTAAGGTCAGGTTGGCTTGGAATCCACTTCATTGTGGTTTTGGTGGAGAGGCTTTTGGTCACACAAACTTGGATGCAGGGTGTTGAGAAGGTGGTTTATATATCGTAATTATTCCAAAGGTATCCCGTACATATATAATATATATATATATATATTTGTTGTGTTGTTTCACCTTTATCATAGTATGGATTTGAGCACTTCAATCAGCACAGTGACTAGCCTATACCACCTGCACATTCTGCTAGTACTGTAGATGGCCAGACGAAAATCATATTTACAGGTTGACATTTGCACCCGATCTATTAGCATGAGGCAATCCCTTCAGCATGCGTTGTCCATTTTGTCCTTTTGTTCCAGAAGACGGCTGCAGTTTTGACAGAAAGAGCTCAGGCATGGGGTGTTGGTCAAGATGGGTGGTTCTATGCCTTTGGCAGCATCCTGGCTTCAAGGAAACTGGAGTTTAAGAGTCGGAAAACGCTCGATTGAAAGTTGTTGTTGCCTGTAGCAGACCCAGCAGAAGTGCTTCTTCGATGGGGTGGGCATGAAATTGCTTCACGCTGGAGGTAACATCCTCATGATCATTCAGGGAATCGCTCAAGTTTTGTCAAGCTTGGCGGTTGTGGAGATCTCGCCAGCGGGCTATGAGGCATCTGTGCAACTTGGCACAGTTTGGCTGATATTGTCACACGAGACCTCCCAAAGGAAGTGCATTTGAACACAGGCTTTGTGTGGTCATTGTAGCGGTCGCAGCTCTCTTTTTGCCAGACAAGTTTTAGCGCCACTGCAGCCTCGTGTGGACCATTGGCAATGCAAACTCTTTTTAAGCTGTGTGAGTTTGTGAGTGTATCTTGCTTTACCTTGTGACGGGTGAGGTACGAGTTCTTGACCAGTATTCACAATGCTGGGATCACCCTGAACTCCAACCTGCAAAACTTGTTTGTGCCGATCTTCGACTTGCACGGCATTGCCCAGTCATATTTTCCGACCAAGACAAACCCGCACCCCCCGCAGCAGCTTTACAATTCACACATGGCCCATGCTACATACTTCACGCGCCTCGGTTTCAAGTTTCTTGAATGCTAGGGATCTTGCACAGAATGTCACCATAGAAAGTTCCCTTGCCTCAGCTGCCTTGAAGCTTGAACCAACGGAAAATCCTTCTCATTGAACTTGGCATGGCACGGTTGTTCTATGGCAGTTGACAGGATCGCAGATTTGGAAGTTTTTACTTTGGGCTTTCAGACATTGATCCGATCAATGTTCCAAGCCAGGATGGCAGTGAATTTGCTGGGAGCCTTGACCTTTTGCTGGTTTTTGCCTCAGCAGAAGGAGCAGTGCAAAGACTGGGCCGAGGAGCTGGGAAAGTGCTGAAACCGGGGCAGTGTTTATCAACAGAGGTCTATGACAAGGATTCACAAGGAAGTGATCCATGCGATTTGCTTGTACTGTAACTAGTGCAGAAATTTGGTTTCGGCATGCGATTTCTCTCGCGATTCAGCCTGAGATGCGAATGCCATACGCAAGTGGCGCGCAGCCGACAAAAGTTTGACAGGACTCGATTTGGAAACGACCAAGCGTTGGCACGGTGAATCTACTGCTGGGAGGCAGCGGAACATGGAACTTTGGCTGTTGGAGAATTACTGTAGATATTGTAGATGATCTTTGACAGACACTCTGAATATCCCTGATTTGGGATGGCATGGTGGGAATCTTCGGACGGCAAATCATCGACAATAAACCATTGGAGGATCCATTTGTGGCAGGTTGGTTGGCAGTCAAATGAATCTTCAGCATACTTCAACTAGATTCTGTGTACACAGATCATTTATACAACTTGTTTGCACAACCAATCCCCTGTAAACCGATAAAGAGCTTGGCTTTGGCAGATTCGACGGATTTCTCGAGCGGTTGGTAACTGGATTTGCTTGCTCGAAGTACACGTTAGTTCTTGCCAGGCGGTGTCTTGCTCTTTTCCGTGGTGGTGTCCCTCTTGAGTGCCTTTCCTGAAACCAATTGTCGGGAGGCCCAGGTGCGGGTAGAGAAAGCAGAGGACTACAGAGGGGACTGTAGGATATATGATAGGATATACTGTGCTCATGAGACCTTGTTGCACCTTGAGGCCTTCAAATCGCAGGCGGTCCTGGTTGCTGATCATTTAACGTAGAAGATGTGCATGATTTCTGGTCCATGCTGCGGATCTCCGCCCTGCTCGGCCAAGAAGGCAGGGGTGTGCTTGGGCAAGTACGCGGCATAGTTTTGGCTGACGGTTAACGAACCTGAGCCACTGCTCATGACAGCACGTTCTGGAAGTGCTTGTCAGTGCGTGTGGCCTTGCTGGCCTAGCCCTCCTGTGTCAAAGTACGCAGCTGTCCCCCTTGGAACACCATGCTGCTCACAGCAGCCTCATGGACATGGCGTTTGGCCTATTCCGAAGGGATTCGCTTGTCTTCCGTGTTCCGCGGAATCAGAAAGAAAGCAGCTGCGGTGATGGCTTTCATTGTCCTGAGAATGAATAGTAAGTGTATGCTCTCACATACGATTGGTAATGATTGGTGACAGCTACATTTGGCCAGATGGTTTGGGGAGACAGCCACGATCCTCGATGAGCCGGGGCCCAAGCTGTTGGACGAATACTGATCGCTGATCCGACTCAATCCTACTTGAACAACAAAAGATACTGTAACTTAACAACCATAGTCGACGCTTCTTGGTCGACCTTCGTACACGTTCTGCCTTCAGGCTGCTGCGCGAAGGTCGTCTTGTCTCACAAGTACGACAGCAGCCTGGCACCAACACAGAGGTGCTTTGAGGGGATGCGGTGGGCAAGGTGATCCATAAAGGTCCGAGATTGACTTGGAGTCCATCTCTAATACTGTAGGTTGGAGGCCATCGCTAGGAGGTCCCAAGGTTGACCAGACTTTGGAGTGGGAATTTGAATTGATTTGACCCGACGAAACCCAAGGCGGAGCTAGAGGTTCCTTGGGTGAACCCTGAGTCGATTGGTGTGGCCAAAAGTAAAGTAGTTCGATGTGATTCATATGCACGCTCGTTTGGCCAGGTTGGCATGTTGATGCGAGTCACGCAAGGCCAGCTTGCAACTGGTTTTGTGTGGTTTTGCTGTACTACTTGGGTCCGGCTGTTGAAGGGTACCGGACGGTATGGGGTCGACTCAGGATGCTGCCAGCCGCGTTCCGGAACACGACTTCGGTCCACCGCGTGAGGCAAAGGCCGGAAGGCTCCGAAGGAAGAGGTGAGCCTGCGAGACATCGACCCTGTGCAGTTCCAGGCCACGCGGCCAGTTCGCCACGCGGTGAGCAAGAGGGGAGTGTTCACAACGATGAGGCAGTGCATCGTCGGCCAACCCGGTGGTCCGACCGGCTAAGCCGGTGGTGGGACCACAGTTGTTGCAAGGTGGTGATTCGAGGCAACAGTTCTCCACTGGAGACGTCGGGGCCTGAGAAAGCAAGCCAAGGCGCCGAAGCACTGCAGACTCATCCAATCAAGAACTGAGGTTAGACCAAAAGCAGACTTACATGAGATTGCATCCGGGAGCAATTTATCTCAACCAGCAGGCTCGATGGAGGCATGAAGCATATATAATTAATATTAATTATATATATATATATTGGCCAGAAAGGGACATTGTATTGTTGGCGTGATTGTTCTTTCGAAAATACATAAGGTTGATATATGTTTCTTAGTATGCTTAGTAGTTATATTGTAGTTCCCATTTTAATGAATTGTTAACGTTTTGGTTTTTGTTACTAGCAGCAAAAACAGAGAGAATTCAAGAGGGAACACTGCTTTGCTGATTGTCACCCTTTCTGATAAGCTGCCAGACTTCCTACTTTGTGGAAGAGCTCGACTTGACCAAGAAGATCGCGCAGGGCACTTGGACATGTATGTACTCCTCTGCAGATTAACATGGAACTGCAAAGCCACTGTGTGGTGAGGAAATAGTCTTGCACTGGTCAAGTCTCAGGGTCCATGCTCGTTTGCAAGGCGGAGTATGACATAAGCATACGTATGCGAAGTGTGAAGTGTTATGTGTTGGAAACGCATCTGGGCAAAGCATTCCAATGTCCTAATCCTTTAGAGTACTGTTTCATACTGTTTCTACTAATGATGAAGTGACTGGTCATGTTTGGTCAGCAACTTCTGGTACCTGGCTTCGCCTGGATTCTCGCATTTTGGACCATGGACATATCCCCAAAACATCCAAACTTCGTCCGTTCAGCGAAGTTCGCCGAAGCCAGGTGGGTGATCCCAAGGGATTCCAGAAAGATCGAGTACTACACCGAATGCCGTAAGGGGCTCTGAGCGGCACTTGCCAGGTAGACCAGGTCCTGTGAGGTGGCGGCCATTGTCGAAGCAAATGCCGTTCCCTCTCCTTCTGAGTGATGAGATTGGAGACTTCTTGACATGATTTGAGATACGAATGGTGGGGTAAACCAAGAGTGTACAAGTGAGTGTACACACATCTGCACAAATGGTCACATTGGCTCTATTGGTTCTTCGAGGGGGGCATCCACGCAAAGGACTTCTGTTAGAAGTTCTTTTTGTCAGACTGTCCAATGCAGGAAATATAGCATAGGTGTTGCCACGGTGTTGCCTCATGCTATTCGCACCTTTAACCCAGAACAAGGGGATGTCCGTGACCAGCCTATGTTGGGGGAAGATCTGAGGTGAGCACGCCATGATCAATTTGGCTGGGGGTGGTTCGGCCTGGGCGCTCGAGATGCGGAGATGAGGACCAAAAAAAAGGTTTCTGATGGATCTGATTCTGATGGTTTCTTTCAAGCGGTCAAAATTCGTCGCTGGACTAATCACGAAAGCTAGCTGTAGCTAGCTGGAGTCTGTCTTGCTTCAGCAAAGAGGACTGGGAACCCAGGACCCGAGTCCTGTCCTAACCCCTGATATATCAGGGATATACCGTCCCCCTCTGCGAGTTCAACTCCCCCCTTCCTCCTGACCGTTTCTCAGTTCCCAACGTGGCCGCTGTGCTGTTGCTGTTGCTGCTTCTTTGCCGCTGCTGCTGTGCTGCTGTTTCTATGGTTCTCTGTTGCTGCTACTTTGCTGCTTGCTGCTTGTTTGTTTGTTTGTCTTTTTGTTTGTTTGTTTTTTTGTTTGTTTGTTTATGTGTTTATTTGTTTGCTGCTGCTGCTGCTGCTGCTGCTGCTCTGTTTGCACCAACCACCGTTTACACCAAACCACGATCTACACCAACCGCATGGTTTACACCAACCACCATTTACACCAAACAGACCACGTTTTACACCAACCACCGTTTACACCAAACCACACTTTACACGAAGCCACGGTTTACACCGTCTACACCAACCACGCCAAATCATGCCAAATCATGGTTTACACCAGACAGCGGTTTACACCAACAGCAACCATATTTTTGAGATCCCAGCTGTGATTGTTCACTGTTCGTAAAAAGCTTGTCGGTGTTGGTCAATCGTGCATCTGCTGCTGCTGCTTGCTGCCGCAGGTTGGTGCTGTTTTGCTGCTGCTGCTGCTGCCTGCTGCCTGCTGCCTGCTGCCTGCTGCCTGCTGCCTGCTGCTGGGGTGGTTGTGTGTTGCCTGTTGTGGGTTTGTATTTTGGGCACTGTTGGCACTCTCCTCCTTTGCTTGCGACTCCCGGCCTGGGCTTTGCTGCCAAAAAAGGCCTCAGCGCTGCTTCTTCCCCTAGCTTTCGCCACCCCGCCTCAACGACAAGTTCATCAAGCATCATCAAGCTACCTTCGTTGGTGGAACAATCGCAGCGTGTCCTTGTGGAGCTTCACTGCTCCGCTGAGGCCCGGGCTGCCGTCCTGCCGCGTGCGGCCGGAGCTGAGGTGCTTTCAGTCGGAGGTCTAAGAGAGGGCTGAGGCTGGAAACCGGAAGGGGCCGGTGAAGAGCAATGCAGTTTATATATGACGGAATGGTTTGTAACTAACTGTAACTTTGACTTGATATGCTGTAACTGATCTGATCAAGAATGAAGAGCTGGCAAAAGATTGGCCTAGCTCTTAGGGAAAGACAATGAAAGACATTGACCAAAAGGATCCAAGCAGTGCCTTGGATCAATTTGAATCAGTCCCAGGCTTACATGAACCATGACCCCCCACAAGCGTCGTACCATTTTTTGTGGACTCCAATGGGGCACGACTGGATCGTGTCGTGGGAACTCCCGGAACGGAGTGGCTCGAGAATCGCTGACGATGGATTGCCTGAAGAGCTGCTTGGACGGCCTGCAGCGATATGTTTGGAGCAGCACTTTGAAGGACACAGGGGAGTGCACAAAAAACAAGCGGACGTCCGTGAATGTGTCTTGTTTTTTTTTTTTTAAATGTGTTTTTGATAGATGTTTCAATCAATCTATATAAAAGGATCGGATATATTTAATAGATGTCATAGAACATGTGAGTACAACAACATCTCAAACAATCACATGGTTCTCACAGTTTTCACATGGATTGCGATGGCCTGAAGGATTCCACCTGGACCTCAAAAGAATATGAGGAGTACGAGCTGGAGCAGCTAGGATGCAACATTTTGGATGTGCATCGACACCTGCGCTGTTTGTTTTCTGCATGTACTGACAGGAAATGTTCACATGTGAACCAATCGTGCATGAGCAGATAGATTTGTTAGCCCGCGTTTCAACTTTCCAAAAGTTGTCCCAAAAAGGAAGAGTCATTCCGCGGTGCAACGCATCGTGAAACTGCAAAGGTTTACAAGTTATATGTTAGGGTGGAGGCCAACGCTCTTAGGTTGGAGGAGATGCTAGTAGGTTGGAGGCCATCGCTTCTAGGTAGGGGCTTCTAGGTAGCTGCAAAGCTGAGGTTCAAAAGTTATATGCAGCAAAACCTTCAGACTCTGAGCCCAGCGGAAGACTTTGCCACGGAACACCGGGACGAAGCCTGGTGAAAGAACAGAAGATGAAGCACCCTCGCGGTCTTTGGGGAAACCGAAACAACGGCGTTGTCTTGCGCGCGCGGCGAGTGTTTGCCAAGGACCCTGAAGAGCTTCAACGGAAGCTCCAAGACTTGCTGGAATTGTGCAAAGAAGCAAACTACATCGTAGTCTTTACTGGTGCAGGTGCTTTGTTTTGCCACGAAAGCGCGCTTACTTAGTCGATGCGCAGCAAATCATATGCTGTGAATTGGAGTGGTGTTGTGTTGTAGTCACTGGAGTGCAAAAAAAATATTATGTAAAAGAACGAACACAATTTTTGAGGGACACATCCATGATTGGGCAATCCTGTACATTTGGTTGTAGCCTTCGGATTCCCCGGGAGGCATTAGTACTTCGATTGGCTTGCCAGACTATCGAGGATGCTTGTTTGCAGACCAGATGTTCTAAACAAATCTGTGTTCAACTTTGTTTTATTTGTCTGAAAGTAGTCTAGAGGATACTTTGACCATGTCTTCAGGTGCGCACTTCCGTCTTTTATCCAAGCTGTTAGACGGGTATGGACAGGATGAAGGAACCACATGGAACCACAGGTTCTGGACGGCTGCCCAATGCGGCGCTGCCGCCCACAATAGGTTTACGCATTTGCGGACTTGGTTCTTTAGGGACGCGTGTTTCATTTTCCTGTTGACCTTCCTTCGAAACGCCGTTGCAGCCAAGCCGCGTTTCGTTGAGGTCCTCAAGGAGTCTGGACTCGAAAACTCAAAGGCGAGCTGGTGAGTGACGATTTGGGACTGGAGCGATCCGCTCAGTTGCAGCCAAGCCGCTCACATTGGGCGATCTCACGCTTGCATCAGAATGGCTTCATCAAGTTTGTGTCATCAACAAATGTCGATGGGCTGCACTTGAAATCGGGGCTCCCGAAAGCCTGTCTTGCAGAACTTCACGGGAACAGCAACCTTCCATTTGCAAAAATTTATTGATTTGTTTGTTTTGGCTCTCTCAATGGTCCAATGGTAAAGACAAACAAAATAGATTCATATATAGGATTGCGGTGGTGTGACCGCGCAAAGGCTATGTGGAAGAATGCGAGAGCTGCTTGAAGCCCTTCCACCGAAGCTTCGTAACGCGGACGGCCACAGGCCTATTTGATCACCGCACTGGTAGGTGTCTGTGCTTGGACGAGTACCCTTTTTCCCGGTCCGGTGTCCCGGAAGCAATAACTATTTTCTCACATTCACACTTTTCTAGACTAGACAATGACACTGGGAGGTACTGTGAGCTATGCGGTGGGCCCCTGCGGGATATCATCGTGAACTTTGGAAACACCTTCGAGCATGTCCCGTCCATGGAGGCTCAACATGATGCAGCGTGGCTTCACTGTTTGAAGCTTGGCGGCGCTTAAATCCAGAAACTGGAGAAAGCTATGGCTGGTGAGTCTGTTGAGAATAGTCGTTCATGTCTATCTGACGGACCAGCCAGCTCCAGAGAGAGAGAGAGAGAGAAAGAAAGAAAGAAAGAAAGAGAAAGTGCGAGAGAGAGAGAGAGAGAGCAAGAGGGGCACGCAGACGACAACTGTTTCTTTGGTGTTGGCTGAGCAGGACCAATCGTTTTGTCAAAAATTTATATATGTATATAATATATATCGTCTGAGTTCTGAGTCACTTTTCATCTACCGCATTGGGACTTTGGTGGAAATGCGGGCTGAGGAAGGCTGACCTGGTTTTAGTTCTGGGTAGCAGCTTAAGCATATTGACAGCCTGCGATTTGCCAGAGGAATGTTTGGAAGCACGTGACGGAAAGCCTGACTCTCGAATTGAAACATGGTATTAACGTTTCTTTGTTGTCCACGTGTGCTCCAAAGTCTGAGTGCAGATTGTGTCCACTGAAGCCTTATAACGTGTGAGCCACCTGTGAGCAGCATGAACAGACAGATCTTCCACTTGTGAAGGATGGTGGCAAAATGGTGATTGTGAATTTGCAGCGGACACCGAAAGATCCTTTGGCATCTTTGAGGATTTTTGCTCCTTGCGATGAAGTGATGGCTCCTTGTCAGATGGGACCAGCTTTGCACAAGCTTCGGCCATTTGGTCTATCGAAAGCTGTGCATGTTTCTAGACGCTACAAGTTTCTGAGCGTCGTTCCTCGTCATTCGACTGAGGCATTCCTTGAGGAGGCACTTTTGGGGACCGAGCGGTAAGCCAGTTGATGTGAGATCCAGCCCATGATCATCCTGGAACCTACAGCTCGAACATGCTGAAGATCAAGGATGATGCTGGAGAGAGAAATCACCTTCGTTTCGAGTGCTTGCCGCCACGGGAGAGGAGCAGCCAGTCCCAGCCACAACGTCTTTGATCGTTAGTCCTGATGTACAGTGTACAGCCTGACCAAAGTCAAAAGTGGTGCAACAGACGCGAGCTGCTAGTACATACATTGCTCTCTCTCTCTCTCTGTACATAACTATAGTGCTATTCTCATGGCATACCTTTCTTAGTGCCCTTGCCCTCAGGTATCTCAATTTAATTGTTTGCTGTGGGGCTAGCCAATCTTCGTGCGAAGTCAGATCTATTCACATCGGCTCTGGTGCACACGAACGCTCCTCTTCCGCCTAGTTCACAGCCTCCACTGGCAACCAAGCCAGACTCCGCCACAATAATGCTGACCATTCTATCAACACTGACTTAGACTTAGACTGTTTAACACATTTGTGCCAACACTCGATCTCACTTCTTCAACCAATCTTCTTGTCATACTTGTCGGAAACACTTCTTTCAAAGCACCAGATGCCAGGACATCACGGATATCCTTTGCTTGTCCCAGCCCTGTTGGCCTGAGGCCACTCCGGTGGTACGAAGTTCACAGGCGACAGCTCACTGGCAATGGGCTTGGAGCGGACACTGGCATGGTCAAAGCTCTAGGGAGAAGGAATGATAAGTGACGACAGACGACTCATTTGAGCTCCTTTGCTCTTGACTTGTGACACCACATCAAGGGGTCCCGTGAAGAATGCGACAAGGCGCATGTACGGTTTCCGGAAGAAATCCAAGAAGGATCACAGCATCATGGTGCCAAGCTTAGTCCAGCTTCCTGGATGATGGAGCAGCAAGCAGAAGATATGTCTGAACTGTTCCCATGTTCGTGATGAAGATGATCACCATTGTGCCTGACAAACCAGCCACCGGAACCAGTTGACAGGATTCCCCACGTTTTCAGGCCCTTGTTTGACGTCAAGCTTGTCATAAAAGAACAGAACTCTGGTCCGGTCTGACGATGTATGAACTCGTTTGTGCCTGATTTGATGTTTTACGGAGGGATCCCGAAAGGGGTTGCTTCGTTTTTACACAGCTGAAGACCTGAGGACCTGGTGGAGTTGACCCTTCCACCTGTTGAGACCTGAGGACAAAAACTCTTATTCAAAATGAATTAACTTTTGGATGAACCAAAGATTTAGGGAACCTGATCTAGGAATGGTTCACTTAATTATCCTTATAGATACTACCTACTACTACTAATAACAAACAATTTTAATAACAATAAATACTACTAATACTACTTCTACCTCTACCTCTATTTCTACTTCTACTACTTTTACTTTTACTTTTACTTCTGTTGTTTCCGCGTTCCTTTTTCCCGTTCTTTGTCTTCTTCAATGACCGCCTTCCTGTAACTTCCTCTTAAGGGTGAAGACTACTGAGTACCAACCCCGGCTTGGCCTTCCACTCAGGTATGGAAGCACAGCTGTCACTGTCGACCCCCCCACTAGCGAACACAGATCTATTCGACGCACGTACTGGGCAGGTGACAAACGGACCAGCCGTGGCATTGCAACCGATCCTATTTGCCTATTTGCCGGAATGTTGTTTAAACCCAGACCGTGGAGCAATACCAGACTTTCCCTGTCCTCCTAGATGAGTGATATGTTTCTTTAAAGTGCTTTAAGCCAATCCTACAATCCTACACTGCTCCTAGTCGGGTCCTACTACTGGGAAAGCTGCAATTCTTATCACTGCAATAGTAGCCGGGATGTTTGGCGGGGCCCCTCTCAGCATGCCAGGAACTCGAACTATATATACTAATATATACGTCTTGCAAACAAGCTAGTTGAGCTGATTCGAGACTCGAAATTAGCTGTTTCAGCCACATTAAGGACGGCAGTATGTCTCAACAAATGTTCTCAGAGGGCTAACTGACCAAGTTGTGGACTGTCACTTCCGCGCCGGATGAGGTCGAGTTCCCCACTCGAGCCACGTGGATGGATCTACCGGGCGCTGTTCTGCAACCCATTGCACAGGCCGAGACTCTGGTGGAACAAAGACGAGACTCTGGCTCTCAGCTTCTTGGACAATGAGTTCCCAAGTCTCAGATGTTCTCCATGCACTTTTCGATTGTCTAGGACACATGCAGCAAAACTGTTTAGCCTTAGGGGCTGAAGAAGCAGCAGGTTGACATTGCGACATTGTTTGAACATGTTTGAACAAATTCCCGGGTGGCCGTACGAATTGTATTCCACAATGCAGGAAGGACATTCTGTCGACAGAGGAGGACTTCATGCGCTAGAGCATGTCCGTTACTTGGGAACTGGAACTGTCAACCTTTAATTGATTTGTGGAGTTCCACTTTCCTTTTGCCGGATTTGTATGCAAATTCCTCAGCCTTTGGAATGATCCAAAAGGTTTGAACTGTCTAAATTATCCAGGAAGGCACTCATGTGCTGGGTACAATTCTCTGTGTGGGCAAGGCTAGCAAAGCTGCTTGCGTAGTAGGTTTCCCATTCTGATACAGGCGATGCCAATTCGCAAAGGGACGACATTTTGATTGGCAAAATTGAATGAACGTCAGCAAAAAGAACCCGCGAAGCTCAGCCTCGCGAAGGCACTTCGTATCCGCGGAGCCTCGCGAGCCCCACAAAAGGCATTCCAGCAGTGACAACAACGTGGCTCACAACCAAGATGCGTGGGTGTTCCAAACCACATTGTGTTGAACGCTGAACTGATCGTTCAACGCGTTTCTTCCGGAACTCTTTCATGACACTGAACAGACGTTTTCCCCGAGGCGATGATCGCTATGGCACCCCTTTCCTGCGATGTTGAGGCGCAGACAGACTTGAAACAAAGATGCGCAGTTTTGCTTCGAAAGGAAATGAATGGAAATTAGATTAGGAAATAGATTCAAGTTGGTCATACATTGTACCATGGTCACGGTCACGCATGGCGTGCAGTAGTTTGCATCATTGAGTATACAGTCATTACATGATTTCATGCACTTCAGATGAAATTGTGCACATGTGTATGTCCCTTTTTTCCCGTCAATACTGGGACCCCGTGTGGTGTCCCCCATGTCTACATAAATGGATTGTGGACTGGTTGGCTCGCGCCCACATCCCAGGCAAGCGAGTTGTCGTGCCAACACACGCGAAGGGATGCTGATCCTAATCGCCGCTTTGGTTTAAATTGTAAGTAAACAGAGTCAGCTGTGTCAGGCTTTCGTCTGATTGGTCAAGGTTCAAGATGTGTATGTTGCAAGTCTTTGGCAGAAACGAGAACACAGCACGTGACATAGCCTTGCAGAATGCCTAAAGACCTCCGACGCTAGGAGATCAAATAGTATGTGCCTTCCAAGGGCTCAGTTGCACTAAAGAGATCCAAAAGAAGGTCCACCCAACATGTTTGGCTCCTAGGAGCAAGGACGCTACTAGTGGCTCCTGGCCTTACTACTAGTAACAAGAAGCTACTAGTAACAAAGGGCATCGCTATTAAGAGCAAGGACGCTACTGGTGTGTCCACGCAGTCCTGGTGGACAGTAGGCGCATGTCGCATGTCGTTTGCTCCTTAGCTCTTTGTCACTTGCTCTTAGGTTACCACTTGCTGCTGTATGAGCTTCAGAAAGGAGGTGCAGTTGGATCCTTCCAGTTGTCACGAAAGCTAGCATGCTAGCTGAGTTCTTCTTTGCTTTAGCAATGTTGTGGTGGGAGGGGCTGCGTGCCTTAAAGATTGATATATCAAGCTAACCCCCCCCCCCGCCCCCCCCCCCGCCCCCCCCTGAAAAGTAGAGCCTACCTGTACAGGGTTCCACTCCAACGGCTGATATAGTGTGTCCATGCTTGACTGCTTCAAGGCTCAAAGAGCAAGAGGATAAGACTCTGCGCATAAAAGACACTAGCGGTCTGCACCTCTACCGTGTACGCCCTAGTCACTCTTTCAGTGGTAGCGGAGCAGTGATCCTGGAAGACCCAGGTGAGCTCCTTTCCTAGGCATAGAATTGCTTGTGGGCAAACGGCCATGGATTGGATTGACGACTGGGAAGAGCCTGATGCGGATGTGGCTTATGAGCCAGCAGCCTACGTGAATAGGCATGTGAGAAGAGAACCAGCAGCAATAGCAATGACAACACAGGTCACTACAAAGGTGCCCCCATCTTATGATGGAAAGACTTCATGGTTTTCCTATGAGGATGCCATAGACGATTGGTGTGATATCACCGAGCTGGAAGATGAGAAGAGAGGACCAGCTTTGAGAAACAGATTAGAAGGAGAAGCAGCAGTATACAAACGTGTATTAGACAGAGATTCATTGAAGGCTAATGAGCCACCAGGAGCAGGAGTAGATTACTTCAAACGAGTACTACGACCATATTTCGTGAAAGGATCAACCAATGTATTCCTATACAGGTTTATGCAATTCGTGCGATTCAATCGAGGATCAGCTGACATGATGAAATGGATGACAAGATTCCAGATTTTACTCCAAAGGCTTATGAGCAGTTGGATGGACATGTTAGAACCAGTCACTCAAGCACATCCCCAAGTCCTTGCTCAGATGCAGGCAGATGCAGCGTTGACTGGAGTAGCACCAACGGCAGAAAGGATTCAGGAAATCATGCAGAATGTCAATGGCAATATGAGAATTCTTCATCAGAATGATTTTCCTTTAGGAGAGAATCTCATTGCCCTACTCATGCTGTCCCTTGCAGATTTGTCTCAGGACCAGCGAAACACTTTGACTTCGTTGATGACTCATCGTGGCAGGTACCTGCAGCAATACACTACAACAGAGCTGAGGACAGTTTTCATCGAGATGTTCTGCACGACAAAGACTTCAGTAGACAATCCATTGATGCAGCCGACAGGTGCTGGAGGTAGAAGATCATTTCTCGTACTAGACGAAGGAGAACTCGATGGTACATTTGGCTATTGGGCCGAAG